CGCCTTGAGGCGGGGCACCGGCTGGCACAGCGGAGCGCGCCCATTGGCCACGGGGGGCCCGGGACACGCTGCCACCCTCGCCGCTCTGCGACCCGCCCGCCACCCCGGATGATGGCGCGCGGGGCCGCGCGCTGCCGTGGGGAGGAAGCAGCCGCACACAGGAGCCCGGCCGGTATGACCGAACAAATGTCCACGCACACACGCCCCCGGGGCGGTCTTCGCCCTGCACGCTTGCCCGCTCGCTCGGCTCGCACACATGTACGCGCGAACGCACGCTCACACAAGGGCCCGGGCGCGATGCTTTCACGCCGACCGGACCGCGGAGCGCCCGGTCACGTGCACATCACACAAGTTGTCGGTTCTGAAGGTGCCCCAGAACGCCGGCCCACGGCCCGGCTGCCGGAGGGAGATCGGCCCAAGGTCCGGGCACCTTCCCATTTAAGACGCGCCGCTGCCAACCTTGCAAGGGGCCCGAACACACGCTCACACGCGCGCACACGAAGCGCTTGGGCGCGCACCCGTTGCCGCGCCTGTATATATGCATGTGGGGGAGAGGTGCCTGCGCCTGGCTGTTTCAGGCGACCCGCCAGAGAACGCCATAAAGGGGCCGCGGCCTTTTTCCCTCGGCCGTTTTGGGCTCCCGCCCGACAGTGGGCGGGGCGAGTGGGGCCGATGGCGGGCGGGGGGCCCCAATGCGGGCCGAGAGTCAGCCGCTCATTCTCCCCCCCCCCCCCCCCCCCGTGTGAGCCGACACAAACGCAAGTCCCGGAGACATGCCCCCGCCGAGTCTCTTCCTCGGTGTGCGTGTCTCCCTCCCCCGGGCAGCGTCTCTTCTCCCAGGCCTTTCAATCTCCAGAGGCGGGATCCGCCGAGGGCAAGATCTGTCCGCCCCGGTTGAGGCGCGCGCCAAAGAAGAGGAAGCATCGTACATGCCGGCTTGCTGGCCAAATGCGCCAATCACCACTCATTTAGTCCTGCCCCCCCCCCTCCCTCCCTTCCCCTCTTCCCTTGCCCTGCCCGTGCCCCTTTCGCGCCTCCGAGACCGTTGCCACACCACACAAGCCCCCACTCGCAGCCCAATGTTCTTCACCGAGCCCGAGTTCCTGGACGGGCTGGAGCGCGTACGTCGAACAGCTCCCCTCCGGCCACACGAGGGGCAGTCTCTTTTGCCTTGCCTCTCACGCCTGGTCTCTTGCACTGACCTGTTGCTCTCCTCGCCCGGCTCGGCCGCCGACTCGCTCCGGGCATCCCGCACGAGTAGTACCTGCACGCCAGTGCTCTCGCCGAGCCGGAGGGCCGGGCACCTGCCCTCTACAAGGCATTCGCTCAATACAAGCTGGCCAACGCCACCTTCAAGTCCATCTGCCAGTCGCAGCAGAAGCGCCGCCAGGTGCGCGCCAGCTCGCTGCCCGAGCAGCTCACGCACACAGCCACACACATGCGCTGACATTGCCGCCTTCCCCCCTCCGCCCTATTTAAGGTCCAATTTGCCGCGAGCCTCGCCCAATGGGCTAAGGAACATCCGCGCCACTCGCCGAAGGAGCTGGAGAAGGCAGTCCACGAGCGCCTTGTGTTCTTCTTCTTTTCGTGACGCCCTTCGATTCGCGTCGACGCCAGTCATTGCCATATGTGTCTTGCACCTCCCCGCTCCCTCCTCCCCCTTTCAAATCCTCCTGTACAATAGCCCGAGACCTGGTCAGCCTCCCCTGGTCGCTGCTTCCCTCTTCCGTCCTCCTGCTTTTGTTGGCTTTTCCTTCCGGCCAGGACAATCGCATCGCCCTCTGATCGGTGTGTGTGTGTGTGTGTGTGTGTGTCGACCACTTCCCCGATCACTCTTTCTTTTCTCCCTGACCCAAGCTGGAAATTTTGCGATTGTCTGCAGGGCGAGTGAGGAGGGACTGGAGGGGAGCCAGCAGCGTGGCATTTTTTTATTACGCCGGGAGCACCGCCATCCCCGAGGGAAAGGCAAAAAGGGGAGGGCAGAAGCAACAAGAGGGGAACACCCACAAGAGACCGAAAAGGCCGGGGGCCACACCGGCGGTGGGCGGTTTCCTGTCAGCATCATGTGCTGCAGCCGGGCCGTCGCTTTCCGGCAGCCCCCGCTGCTTGCCCAGGGTGGAGGGGTCTTCTTCCTTTTTTTTTTTTTTCAGTCGGCAGCATTGTGCGCGGGCAGGCGGTTGCGGAAGGCCCAGGTCTGGCGGCCAGCGCAGACAGCCTCGATGTCGTCCACCTCGCGCGGCACATCGGTCAGGTTCTCGCACCCGGTCTCGGTGACCACAACATTGTCCTCAATGCGAATGCCACCGAAGCGGGAGTCCAGCAGGGCACGGACGCGGTCGGTCTCCAGGTACTGGGCCAGGGGGTGGGCGTCGGAGCCGGTCACGTCAGCGGCCGAGGTCCCGACCACCGGGCGCAGGATGGCCTCGATGAAGTAGATCCCCGGCTCAACGGTCAGCACCATGTTGGCCAGCAGGCGGCGACCGCAGCGCAGCGACCGGAGCCCGGGGCGCGTGGCACGCGGGACCAGATCCTCCGGGTTGTCCATGTGGGCCGGATAGCCACCCACATCATGGGTGTCAATGCCCAGCAGGTGCCCCATGCCGTGCGGCATGAAGAGAGCCGCCACGCCCAGGTCCACCAGCTCACGGGCAGGGGTGTCGGACTTGATGAGGCCGCCAGCCTGGAGGCGCTCAACGAGGACCGTCTCTGCAGGAGGGCCGAGGGGGTGGTAGGTAAGTGGGGGTGGATTGGCCGAAAGGAAGGATGCGGAGGGGGGAGGGGGGGGGGGGGGGGGAGGAAAAGGCCGGAGACAAAATGACGGCCCCAAGGGCGGCCCCGAGCAGAACAGCGGCGAACCGGGGGCAACACCGGGAGAAGAGCGCCAGAGGGGGAACACGAAAAGGGGCCCGGAGGAGAACGCACCACACAGGATGTGCAGGTCCGGCCACATGACGCCCGGACGGATGGCCTCCTCGACGGCCTTGACCGAGGCCAGGACAGCATCGTAAATGAGACGCTGATCGGCCGAGAAGACCCCGCCCATGGGATAGCTGCAGGTGATGTCCGACGCGTAGCCATGATACTCGCAGCCCATGTCCAGCAGAGCCATCTGCCCCGGAGTGCAGGCCCCATCGTTGGGAGCGCCGGCATGGCCGTAGTGCAGCACGGCACCATGGTCACCGACACCGCAGATGCAAGTGTAGGACATGAAGCGCGCACCGCCATGGTGGTAGCAGAAGTGCATGAAGCGCGCCTCCAGCTGGTACTCCTTCAGCCCGCCGGGGGCGGTCACCGCGGTCGGGGCCCACTTCATGACATCGACATGGGCGCGCGAGCTGACCGAGTTGACATAGCGCATGAGCTCCACCTCGGCCGGGGTCTTGATCAGACGGCACTCCACCAGGTGGTGGTGCAGGCCATCACCGCCGGTGGACCGGTTCACCGGGAAATCCTCGATGCCCTCGAAAGTGGCCGGGGTGGTGGTGTTGCCGCTGTCGGTGTTGACCCCGTGCAGGACATACACCGTGGGCGGGGCGCTGCCAGCCGGGGACTCGGCCTTCAACACGGCGGCCAGCTCATCAACATAGTGGGCCCCGTCAACGGAGTACCGGCTGGCGAAGTGCGACGGAGGATGGATGGTGCCCATCCAGACGGCGTACGCCTCGGGCAGCCGGGGGGCGAAAAGCAGCGACCGCCCGGTCTTCAAATGCACGGCCCCCATGAAGCCGGCCTCCCGCACGCCGAACAGGTAGTGGAAGAAGCTCTCCTGGCGGAAGAGCGGCTCATGGTCGGTGGCATCGCGGGTGGCCTGCACGCCGCCTGGACAGATGCCATGCGTGCCGAGCAGGGAGGCGGCGGCGGCGGCGGCGGGGGG